GGTTCATATTCTTTCCACAACCCCCACACAGCATAAGCTGCTGTTCAAATATTGCCTCCTGTTTATAGCTGAGCTGCACGAAAAAGTCACAAATAAATAAATAAATAAATAAATAAATAAATAAATAAATAAATAAATAAGAATAAAAAAATCGCAGTTCCCATGTGAATAACCTTTATGTCACCAACAAAATGCCATTCAAAGAGCTATCTGCAACAGGTAAGATATTTATGATTCCTAACATTCACAGTATCCCACTTAAAAAAAGGTCTGACATATCCCTTTTACGCATGGCTTCAGCACGTTACCTGTGGAGACTCCATCCTTTGTTTTAGTACCTGGAACAAACAAACAGACAAATAAAACAAAACAAAACACAATTAGCCTCATGTTGCACTCATTGAATGGATTTAAATAAAAAAAAAAAAGAACAAATAAATTCTGCCGCGGTTTTTTCCTTTTTTTTATTTCTTTTCTTCTTCTTCTTTTTTTTTTTCAAATTTAGTGTCATTGATCCACTGATCTAAAATGAAAGGAACACCCAGAACCCACCGACGAACAGAACCCCATCCTTCGTCATCTCCGCCGCTCCTGTCACTCCCTGCTTGGTTTTCTCCGCCGCCGCCACGACCCCATCCTTGGCTTTGGAGAAACCCTTCATTAACGCGTCCATGGCGGCTCGACTAACCTGCAAACAGCTGCAGGCACAGACAGGCGCGATCAGAAGGGCTGAATGGTAACAATAAAAGCACACAACACAAGGAGGAAAAAAATGTCTCCACCCTCAATGCATCTCTGTTACATCCCTGGGATCTGTGCGCTTCTGCGCGGAGGCTGAAGAAAAGCCCCACCACCTGTAGGAATTACAACCCATGAATGGGTTTTACTACTACTGTAAACTACAGAGGTATCTGCCGTGTGCACATACAGGAAAATACATTAATCCTTGTTTTTAGAAAGAAGATTTAAAAAAAAGGGACAAGAAACAAAAGAGAGGTGTTTTTACGCACCTGTTTGCTTCAACTTCCTTTCAGGAGAGAGAATAAAACAAGCCTTCCGGGATGAGACAGCGGAGGATCTCCTCAAGGAGTGAGGGGGGGGAAAAAGAAAAAAAGAAATTTGTCTCCAAAAGTTCAGCTGCTCTGAAGAGACAGGATAGTATTCTGCACACAGAGACTCTCTGCAGGTTTGACAGGCGCCTCCTACCCTTCACAGATGAAGAAAGAGGGATCTCTCTCTCTCTCTCTCTCTCTCTCTCTCTCTCTCTCTCTCTCTCTCACACTCAAACTCAAACTCAAACTCAAACTCAAACTCAAACTCAAACACACAC